TCCTGAAATTAAATGAAAAAAAAAAAAAAACAAGAACTGACGTCACTTTTTCTAACAGGAAAAAACAGCATTGACATAGCCTCAATTGTATAAACCATAACCAGTCGGCAACTTAATCGATAAATTGCTACTATTGAATCAAACATTTGATCATTTTGACTTCCACTCCAAATTTTTCTCTCCTCTATGCAGAATGCCATTGATGCATGCACGCAAGATAACCACGCGAATGCGGCAGCGTGAGCACATACGTTACCAAGAAATAACACCCGCTCGAGAGGAATGGTCGCTGAGCTGACCAAACTTGGCGCTCAGCATCAACGACTGTCTTGCTCTCTCCTCGAAATGTGCCGACGCCATCAAGTCTGGCGCGAGAACCTCGCTCTCAAAGCATACAACGCTTCGCACTCACCCGCGACGCTTTTCCAGTTTCTCTTTCCAACTACCTCTCGTCGCATCGCAGAAGCAGAAGACAGGGAGGAGGTCTAGATTACGTCTAGACTGAACGTCACCGGCTCTGCGACAACCACGGGCTCGTTACAGGTGCGCTTTGGTCACTTATGGATGCCTATTCGCACTGCGAGTTCTTCGATGCTCAGTGGATATGTTGGGGAATGTAAGAAAGAACTTCGAGATCTTTTGCTTGTTGAAGAAGAACGCCACACGCATTCAGAATTTTGTGTATCTGGTATGAAACACTGCACGCTACATAGCAGTGACAATTCACACTTTTGGGAGCAAAGCTCCCTAAGCCATGGGTCGTGCGTCCGCAATCTATAGTCATCGTAGTAGTAGGTCGCCGCCTCTACGGCCTGACTAGAGGAGCAGCACGCGGGCTCCCTTCTCAATTGAGGAGAAAAACCGCACAAGTTAATCATAATTAAAAAGATAGCTGTTTCTGATAAAATAACTTACAGAGACGAGGATTGCTGACTTGATCTCGAATAAATTTGCCAAAAAAAAAATGCAAGGTGCATTTAATGCTTACTAAAAAAAAATTGTATCAGAAGGACGCACTTTGAGCACTATCTGACCAGAAATGGTTGCCATGTTAAACTCGCTGGGCGTAACCTCCTTGGTTTTAACCAGGTTTAGAAAGGGTTAGGCTGCAATGCTACGAATAAAGTGAACTAGTATATAGCCATGAACCAGAGGCAGTGAAAGGTGAGAAGTAGACACGAAGCGCAGGCCGTAAGATAGTGCGCGAGCGCCACCTCTCATTTAGTCCTTGGAATATCCGCTGGATGGCGGTACTTCTATATGCTGAATATATCATGAAAAGGTGCGAGATGGCGATACTCGGAGTGTTCACTAAATGGACGGACAGACAGGCAGATGCACGGATGAATGGACGGACAGACAGGTGCATGGAAGGACGGACACATGGCCGAACGCACAGACGGACGGACGCACACACGGACGAACGGAAGCAAGAACGAACAGACAGACGCTTCGCCTCACTCATCACCATGCATTCTGTGCATATGCTGTGATTTTTTATTCTCCAGAAGTCTACGTCGACGAATACATGGTTTTCTGAAAGATGCCGTACGGCCGCATGTGCGACCCTTTGATTTGGATGCAGTAGAGATTACTGTAAATGAACACGATATATGATATTGTCATTGTGCTACCAAAGCATAACCAAAATACAGATGACGAAAAAAGGAGATGATTTTATTCACCAATTGGACCAAAATAAAAGCAGTAACAAAAATACTTCCCTTCAGTGCAGCCCAAAAATTTGTCGGTGATTTTTGCTCACACGCGAGAAAAAAAAAAAAAAACATGCGCACGCCGAAGTCCCCCGTGTTCTGCTTTCTGCCGTGATCTCCGCCGCTCGAGGAACCCACATTAAACGCGTACCCTCGCAGTAGCCGGGCGCATGAGGCGATACTCGCTGGTTTTGCTGGGGAGCGCTGCTATCGGGACGGCCGGAGAAAACCACGCCGCATAGAGTTTCATACAATAATACCTTGTATGAAACTCTATGCCACGCCGCGTGCCTGCAATCTCGGAGGCCGTGCTCTCAGCCCCTTAGTGGGCACACTGCCCCATTCTAGTACACTGTAGTTTTAGTTACCCTGGATATTTTTAGGTAAACGCACGTCACGCCCCCTTTCCTCCGGTTTTCCTAGTGTCGTGAACGGGCGCCTTCCCAAGCGGTGGCAAAGAAATGAAATTCTATGCACCAAGACGCGGCGCTGTTTGTTGCTGGCGCGCTGGAGAGTGACAGGGGAGGTTGAGGACAAAGCGCAGCTTGCAGCAGCGAAACCACTTCCCTGCCACAGAAATTTTTGCCGAAGCACTTATTTTAACAGTAGATATTATTGCTAATTATCTTCGCGGCAGAGATAGAAATAAAAATAATTTTTACTATTCATATAGCCTTCTCACATACCCTCTTTATTGTGCTCTCTACGCAAGCACAAAGCAGCTGCGACAAAGTTTCTTGAAAGTAAGTGTGTCATTTGCTTAGTGGTGTGCAGGTGAAAGGAGGGTGCCAAATCTGCCTTATACATTACATTACTAGAGAGGGAAGCTGCTGCAATGAGCCTCCGCCCTCCTCCAAGGTGGATGTTTGAGCTGGCAAAGGCTGGAATGGTCACATATGAGAACTGCCGGACGGATAAAGCAACAAGGGCAAAAATGTGCACAGGGAACAGGCCACGCCTTTTCTTTTCCACTGAGTTAATTGTCTTTGCCAATTGTTAATTTGGGAAATGCACCCGCCTTATTGTGCTCTTCAGCGTAGGCAGAAAAGAGCAGCGACAAAGTTCTTTGAAGACCAGTATGTGAAGCTTAGGTCGTACGTGGAAGGGGACTGGGACAGCAACCGTCACTAAGGGAGGGGGGGGGGGGTATTTTTGCAAAGTTTCGTTTCAAATAGGGGCACTGAAAAATCGAAGTTTGCATTCATCTATTGCTTGGCTTTTACTTATTGTTCTTTCTGATTTATTATGTGAAAGTATGTTCTCAATATGTTCAATACTTATTTTTCAGTGCGCATAAATTTCAATTTATTGTCTGTTGATGCAAAGTTTTAATGAATTATTTATTATTTAGTGTTTATTTCAATTAGGTATACCTGTCTTCTTTTTACTGTTCACTCACATTCTGCATCGAAAAACTTATCCTTGCGTCTTTCTGTCTGGTTGTATTCTTTTATGTAACAGCTGTAAATACATATGGTTATTGACGTCTTTGTACTCATACGCAACTGCGTGGAAAAGAATGTTAATAAACTGGGACTGAAGCCAGAATCTCTTACATCTTCGTTCCATGCTCGCTATACATCCCGGTGAATTTTTTTATGTGCTGTTCAGACGAAAAGTACCTGGCAGTATACTCTAAAGATCAGTTTTTTTTTTCCTTCGTTTACAATTTATCGGCGCCCTGTGTGACGAGCACAGAGACTTTGTACCGTCACCACAAAGCTTGTTTTAAACGAGAAACGCCTGAGAGCGCGAACATAGACGCGTAAATGCGGCGCGCCAGCGAGCAGTTGCGCCCTCTGAAAGCTGTATTGTAAAATCTTTCAGCTTTGCCGCCTCGTTCACGACACTAGGAAAATCTTTCTAGCCTCTATACTAAGCTACTGTTGAGGTGTCGCACCCTGAAGCAGGCAGTTACGGGGCTCACTTTTCTCTTTTTTTTTTTCCCCCTCTTATAGCCTCATCTAAGGCGCTGCACCGTGCTCCCAACCGGGCTGCAGAAATTAGGCGCCTTCTAATTACCACTACCACCACCGTCACTCGAGAAAGGTTACGAACATCGCGCGTGTTAACGGCGTGACCTAGCATTCTTGATAAGAAAGTGACGCGAGCCGGGTTACGGGGATCGCATGGTGGCCGTCTGGGAGATGTTATAGATAAGGGTTTGACACTTTAGAGATGATATCGGAGAGAGTGTCGCTACTTTCTATATATCGAGGAACTTAAGTTTCAGTCGTAGAGTTTCCTATGGTTTAGGAAACCCGCTTTTTCGTTCGTAGTGTCGCAACGTAATAAGCACTGCGGTCTTTAAAATAACGTATCTATTCATGTGAGAAATAAAAACACTACAAACACCTACGTATATAGGTTTAATTACCTAAAACATGCGTAGTACTTGTTTTCCGAGTCACAACGCATCAAGCCGATCAATATGACTAGGCGTTGAGAGGGTGCCTAAGCATTTGCCGGGAGGCCGAATTGCGCGACTGACAGACAACAAAAAGACGGGCATGCGAAAGGTATTGCGTTAAGGTATCCCAAGAAAGATCATCGTATTTAAAATTAACGCTAGTTCGAATGAAGCACAATTCTTCCCGCGGCCTAAAAGGCTGAACGACTGGGCGCAGGCCGATTTCACCGCCTGAAAAACCAAGACCGCAGAATAAAGACTTTTCACAGGTCTAGAGAAATCCCATCTTTTCAACTAATCTGACTACAAACAACCTCCAGTGCCTTCATACCATTCTACATAGGTGAACACAACACAATATGTCGGCCGGAAAGTCTTTGAGCGGCAAAAGCCACCGTATTGCGTCATCGGTCAGTTCGCTGCCGAGAGAAAGAAGGTACGAATGGTGTTCACGTGCGGAGCACGTGCGAACCGGAAGTCGTCGAGTTGCGGAACGAAACCCCTTTCCTCGCAAGCTCCGAATAATGAGCGAGCCATCGATGGACGAGGCGCGGTTTTTTGAGATAAGCGGCGGTTCAGCTATCCTTGAGGCCTCGCCAAAGAGACGTCGGCAACGGGCCACGCAACAAAAGACGGATGACGAGCAGTGGCACGATTACGCGATGCCTACGTAACAACCAACACCTGTTTGCCTTCTTCCTGCAACAGGCGGCTGATAAACAAAACGACGTACCCTTGAACCTACGTGTTACCAAGGGCACAGGTTAGCCATAGCACCGAACCTACCACACCCGTTCAAGAAAGAAAATGACCGCGGGAACCAGTGACGAGGTCAAACACGGCAAAGACGACGAGGGGGTGGGGTAGTGGAAAGTTTCCAGCTGCACAGCATGGCAGGAAAGGAAAGAAAAGCAATATCACCTGATGAACGCCGGTCGCCGCCGCCAGGGGAAAGCGAGCACGCAGACTGGCTGGCCCACGCACGACGGGTCCTGATTGGCCGCTGCGGATATACTTCATTACCCCCTGTGCTCATGCTCAACCTCTTCTCGAGATTCCAGGCTGTCCGCACTGCCCTAACCGAAACCTTTAAGCAAACACGGTGCGCACATCACCAGCTGATCGGCTCGTCGTCTGCTCGTCGCTTCCCTCCCACGCCGCATCAGCTGTTTGCTCTCCTCGCACCCGCCACGCTGAGCAGCACGTCGAGCACCATGCCTGGATCGGTGACCGAGAGTAACTTAACCGAGAGCCAAACACGTGCCATGTGGCGGGCAGCCGACTGTGTCTGCTTCGACGTCGACTCGACGGTGTGCATGGACGAGGCCATTGACGAACTGGCCCGCTTTGCAGGCAGGGACAAGGAGGTGGCCGAACTGTGAGTACTTGCGTCTGACGACCGCCGATAACATGTGTGCGGCGTATCTCCCGCTCCGTCACGCAGCGTTAAACAACTAAATCTTTTGCTTCAGGGGCTGGTTCGCTGCTACATTGTTAGAATGGTTCCAAGCCGACCTTGCGAAGCTAGCCCAATTCATTCAGTCAAGCTGAGCATGGAAAGTTTTTGACAGCTGTCTCATTCACTTGGCAGCAGCGAAGGCTTTCTGACTGCTTCGCACCTGTGCGCAGAACAAACAAGGCTATGCGTGGGGGCATGACATTCAGGGAGGCACTGGAACGGCGGCTAGAACTCATCCAGCCAACGGCACGCATGCTTCAAGAATACATCGACCAGAATCCCCCACGGCTCTCGGTCGGTATTGAGTAAGTTCTCCCTCTCTCACTTAGCTGCATCGAAAGCGTGCGTGGCACATTCCGCATTCTTTCCTTTTCGCTTCTAAGCGGAAAACAAAGATAATAATTTTGTGACAGCGTTAAACAGCATCGAAACTCTTGCGTACAAGTGAAAGCTTCCTACCATTGATGCACTTTTAAGCTTATTGAGGTAAAGGAAACTATTTTATAAAGCTTAAATAATGTTGTCCTGTTACTGTAGCTATGTTCTCATTATTCTAACAAGTCCGCCCAACTACCATGGTGAATTGTTTCAAATGATTGGATGTCTCTGCATTTTATAATAGTAAGTAATGCATACGATGGCCTTATTTTTTCTCTCTTTCTTCTTGATAGTCATGACACAATTATAAAAAAATTATCCCATCAATGTGAAGCTGCCTGAAGAATGCTACTTAAAATTATTACAACATTAGACAATTTTTTTTTTGCTTCCAGGATTGAACATTAATAACCGTATGTTTCAACAAAGTTGCTTTTTTGGGACAACAAAAAATATTAATGAGCTCAAAAAATTAAATACTTTGGACTCATTTGTAATCTTCTCCAGATGAGCCTGCATTTGCTTTATGTGCGAAGTACTGTGAGAATTGCATTAACGTCCTTCCTGTGCAGGTTTTCTATTGCTGCCTAGCTGCTCTCATATTTGCACTCTTGTTGCAGAGTTTTGAGTTCTGCTTGTTTACCCTTCAACCTTATATCGAATTGTTCTGAAGGGCACAGCAACGTGGAAAACTGAGATTATCTTTGCGAGTTGAAAAAACACTAAGAACTTTAGCTTTTATACATCTACGGATGGGATGAAAGTGTTGCCAGAATGTGAGCATTAACTGACAATACTTCGCCTAGTTCTATTCTTTTAATACATTGGCCCAAATTTGCTTTTGTGCATCTTCATTGTGAACATTACTTCAAAGGAATTCTACATAAAATATGGTGTTGACCATTGTAGGATTGAGGCACGCTGTGTCTTTTCCAATCAAATGGTGGCAGATTGAACTTTATCATGAAAGGGCGAGCACTTGCAACACAAACTTTGTTCACTTAAAGGACACATTTGTCACAGAGTGCTCCATGATGCTTAATTCCATAGCCATTTTGGATGAACACATCTCCTCCTTGTCAAACTACGCAAAAATTGTTTTTGATGACTTTGAATGTTTCCCAATGAGTGCTCACTCGCTTGCTTCCAAGTCAGTTCAAATGTTTCTTCACAGATTACAGAAATTGCTTGGGCAATTTCTCTTATTTTAACCACCGTTTAACATTTTTTCGCTAGTTGTGTTTACAAAATGTCCAGTGAACAGGATGCAGTCACGTTGCTCATGCATCGTTGCAGAAAATACGCTTTTGTTCGTTGCGCAGCTCTTTAAGCACTAATTATTCAGATACTGAAGTTTGCTTTGATGACTTAATGTGTTATATTCACCACTCTCAACAGGATTATTTCTCAAATTGTGACATATGTGAAGGGGACTGACAACTGCCCAGAATATGAAATGAGACGACTTCTCTGATGAAAAGATTGTCTGTAGCATTGACTCAAGTCAATTCTGTTTTTTCGTGCGAGGATTCATATTTCTCCAGTGAGTCTTGAAAAATTACTTGTGGTACCTTGGGGCGCAAAAGCGATCCAATGTATTAGGCCGCATGACCGTTCATTACTGTATGTAGTCAACGATTTTTTCTTTGTTGGTATTTAAATGTTCTTCGTTTCTTTATATTAAAAGATATCACTCCATAAAATGTTCATACATGCCCCTGTGTTAAGAGTTTGCATTAAAGTGGCACTGCCTTTTGCGTGACGTAATGATTCCATGCTCATGAGCATGTCTTGAGCTACTTTTCAACGTGCTTATGCAACAATGCACACACTTTCCAGGCCGCTAAGATTTTGAATCGACGTAGTTTTTATTTACTACAGCTCAGAAATGACACACACTGCTACTCGTTGCGGCCATGCATAGGTGTTATGGCACCTGCAATGACTTGGCTTGGCTCGTGCATCCAGAGAGTAAGAAAACTTGGAAAAGCCACCAATGGTACAGGCGCACACTACGCTGCACAAAGACTTGGCAACCTTACGTATCGTTGTAACAGCTTGTCATTTTTAAACATAGAAAAGCTCAAAACAACTATGCTTGAGCATAGCTACAGGAACTCCTGCAAAAGCAGGACGACGGGCAGGCGGCATCACTATTAATTCTCAGTGTTGTTTGAGGAAAGGTACATCAGTGCCTTTCAGATCAATACATACTGCTTGTAAAATGAATATGAGCTTCAGCAATCAACTACTACAGCTCAAACACTACGAAGGGTGAGCTTTCTGTTGTGACAAAAAAAAACGGTGATCATTTCCATTGATAGGCCATGGCTAAATAATGCTAATTTGTCTTAAAGTATGCTTGAAAATTTTTTTGTCAATGAAAACATGGTCTTGGGAAGCAAAATATTCAGTATTATGTTATGACAGGAAAATGACAAAATGATTTAAGGGTAAAGGAGTGCTAACAATAATTTTTTTATTTGTGTTCTTTTTTTTACATCAAACAAAAAAGAGCCCAAAAAATGTACTAAGTATGAGTAAAAAAGTTATTGGAAAAGGTTTTGAAAGTTTTTTTGGTTCCGATTGTACCTTGATGTCTCAACATGTCACGAGCTTCCCATCCATGCTCACACACAATACTGTGCCATTTCCACAGTTACTCTGTAACCATGGCTCCATTCGTGATGCACAAATGGCCGTTACGAACCATTTCCACAGCTACTCTGTAACCATGGCTTCATTCGTGATGCACAAATGGCCGTCACGAATGTTTACTTGATTCAAAAGTAACCATTTTGAAAGTGTTGATACTCGATGTCATCACAACTAGCCATAGTGCTGCAGGCAGTCGCCAGAATTAGTACTTTTGCCAGACTTGAAGCTAGTGTCAATGTCTGTTGGTGAACCTTGGGGAAAATTGATTTTCATATCAAAATGGCACAGGTTATTTCCTTTTCCTGAGCTTCACACTTGCTCTGAGCCATTTCTGTATGCTCGATAACGGCAAATGTCGGGAAGGGGCAGAGCATGTCATTCATATTTTTCCTTAGATCTAGTCCCTACTGAACCGTGGCCAGCTCGCACAGAATGTTTTCTTCTAAAAGCGTTACTTTCCTTAGCTGTGCGCACACACGCAGTTGATCACCGTATAATTGACCTAATTGACAATGTTCTCATCAACAGAGGTGAGTGATCAAAATATACATATGAACTGCCAGTGAGTCTTCAGTGTCCATGTTCATGCGCAAGCATATCTAGTGGGAATGATTTGTGAAGCCAACGGATGTATGTGCTACTATGCTATAGGTGTATTAAACAAGTCATGTGGAATAGTTTTCATAGTCTGTTGATGATCCAACTGTTTGAGCTGCCGCTGCAGAAATGTTATATCAAAGGTGGCTGGTACTGTCTGCCACATATAACACCAACGCATCAGTAACTGCAGTTGACAAAAATTGGCCCATGTCTACAATATTCCAATGAGCTTTGGACCTAGTAGAAATTGAAGGACCCACTATATAATGACAGAAGATATTGAATAAACAAGACTTGTATTCTCGAGATTTAGACTGGCACAGCTTGGCAGAAAAGCTCTTGTAATGCACGAAGGTGTCCTGCAGATTGCTATACATAATCTGTTATTTTTTGGTGCCTGCTTAAAATTAGTCTGCATATTATTAGTCATCCCCACTTTACCCTGTGAAAGGAGTTGATACTGTCTTTGCAATAACCAGCGGAATGTGAAGTCTCAAGACGCGGTGTGCCTGATGCATTCCAGCAGTACAGGCTTAATAAATGCAACAACTTTTCTCTCATATTATTACTGTTACCTACCACTATTTATAGTGCGTGTTGTGTGTACCAGTTTGTTAGCACTATTGTGTCGAAAACACTGATGTTTCATAGTGTTTTCTTTGTTGCGATGCCACGATTTCACTCACTAGTAGGCTTTAGGATGGGCCAACCCTGGTGATTTTTTGACCTTGTCGGGGTAATCGTGCCATTACATTCCCGAGACACTCTTGCATTGCGCCCAATAGCTGAAATTCAGCTAATTCATAAGTAATTTTTCATAAGCTAAAAGATGCGATGCCGAAACACAATCGACTGTGCCATCTACGTATAATGTACTACTACTTTGTAAGAATCGGAAACCCTGCAAGGCATGCCGGTCTTACCAGCATGGAGTTCGTAAACTGTGAAAGCCGTGAGGAGCAAACGCTTGGTGGGTAGGTGCTACAACTCAAACGCTTGTGAAGGTCACTAAGCATTGCCCTTTCTGTAGCAGAACAGATTGCGGTATCTGCTTGCTTGGTTGTACATACCACTGAAAAAAATGGCACCACTTGTCCAGGATGTCAAAGTTTGTGGCTCTGGCGATTGGCTAAAATCCTTAGGATCAGTTCATCATCAAACAAAGCCTTTATTAATACTAATGACATCGCTGTACTGCTTGCTGCGATGACAGCATAATCCGCAGCCGCCGGCGAGGGTTCGCCAGGCAGTTCACCTGAAGATGCTGCGAGAATTATCAATGAAGCCATGCGCTTGTCTCGGCCACTTTAAAGCTTGTCTTCGAACTACGAGGTGTCAACTGCAATCGTGAGTGTTGCGGCCCCCGCCTTCTCTGCAGCAGTCACCCCTGGTTCCTGTGGCTCCCTATCCGGCCTATTCACCAATGTCGTGCGTATCTCTGTATTTCACATTGCATCAGTGGTTGCTTCGGAACTGATAGAGTTTCGAGGATTTCATGACGATACTGTTCTTTAGATCAAAACTGTAAATGCTCTCGGCACCCGCAATGCCTGGCCGGAGCATCGTAAATAGCTGGTAGCCATCGACGGCCTTTGTGATGCTACCAAGGCCTGGCACAATTATGAAGGTGTGCTGCAGCAGTCCTGGTCTCAGTGTTGTGCGAGGTTGACGAGTGTTTTCCGCCGGCTTTATGATGCTTGCGACTCCTTTGACACGAACCAAGTTTTTATCCCGCATGAGAACTGCAAGGCATACAACCTCGATCATGCAGCTCGGGCTTCCATCATTGTGCCCTCCTTTGAAGACAGAGATCATGAAGGGGCTCACCCCAACACTGCAGCTGTGCAATATGACTGCTCTGTAGAAAACAGCGTCGACAGCCTTGCTGGTGAAACTCTCTCCAGAATTCTGTGCACCATTACAGCTCTTGGAGTGTGCGTCGGTGTGTGATGCGACCGCTATACAGGTGGAGACCGAGAGCATTTGCCACAAACATCAGGAGGAGAGGCACGCAGCGACTGCTGCCATACAGGGTGTTCCCTGCGTGGCCAAGACCATTCGCCGCTTAACAGCCAAGACCATCGTGGTTAACAGCGCGAAACACCCGGACAGAAGCGATAGAAGGACACGGTGTTTCGCTTTCGCTTCTGTCCGGGTGTTTCGCGCTGTTAACCACGATGAATGCTCACCAACTAGCCCAGTTTTCCATCTTGCTCAGCCAAGACCAGCCACAGCAATGCGTCCAGCCTCAACTGCCTGATACACTTGTGGCAGATTTCCACACCCAGTTGCTGCGTGACCGGGGCCATCCAGGTATGATTCTGGCCGATACCCGGACCGAATCTCGGCTTGGCCGAGATCTGCGGGGCAACGAGGCATTGTTTTCAGCACTTCAAGACGCTATAGTGTGCAAAACAACGGACGTCCACATTTCGGCAGCTTGCAGTCATGGCCGAGTACAAGGATGACAGCGCCGCTAGAGCACGGGCGTGCACTAGAGGCTAGACTAGAAGGGCGAGATGAAAGAAGTTGGAACGGCCGGCCCAGGGAGGGGGAGTGTCTCAGTGTTTCTCTTCATTACAATCTCTAATTTACTGATGGTGTGGCACAGTGACACTGTATCTAGATCACTTAATCTTTCATGTTTTTTTTAAATCGGTAGTGATAGCCTAATCTCATTGGCTTACTTGTGTGCAAGGTTCAGAAAAATACATGGGACCACAGGCATGGTCATTTTGTGCATTGCTACACGTTGGCAGTTATTATAATTAGTCAAACAAGGGCTATTGTATTTATAGGAGGATTTAGCAGCCTGGTCAAGCCTGCTACAAATAGCATCGTTTTTCTTCTAATCACAAGACTCTACTGACAGCAACTAAAAATGCAATTTATTTGATTTTGGTTTTTCTTTTGTCAACTGTTGTATCAGCTCTGACATTGGACCTTGTACTGTGTGTGCATGTCTGCATAGTAATATTAAGCCGAAGCCAGAAAAATGCATGATTATACTGGTACCACAGCAAGAGAAGTGTGGCTGCACAAAAATAATCACTGAATTAGTCGATCACATTTTAATGTTCCCAATACTGACATACTCTTCTTTAATGCTTAATATTCACTAAATTAGTTACAGTGTGCGTGCATTGCAGGCACATTGTCATCATAAATGTACCAGCTAAGAAGAAAATTGTGAGGTATCTTTCTCAAGTCGGCTTGCGGTGGATTTGGCTTTTAGATAAAAAAACTCGCAACCATTTTCAGAACACGCATATTGAAGTAATAAGAATCGAAACATTGTTCGCAAGCTAATTTACTTCTGCCAAGGTTTCTTTTAGAGTTGCGAATGATGATAATTTTCATGTGCATCAGCAATAGGTTCAAGCCTAATACACGGTGCAATTGGAATGAACCGTCTATTCTCGCAGGGAGCTCGTGGCTCAATTGCAATCTCGTGGTGTCGCTGTGTACCTGGTCTCTGGCGGTTTCCGGTCCATCATCGAAGGAGTCGCAGACGAGATTGGCATTCCTCGCAAAAACATTTTTGCAAATCAGCTGAAGTTCTACTTTAACGGTATGCCTGAGTGCAATATTATGACGCTCTAAATTAGATGGTGCTTATAAAAGCGGTGAAGCATGTCCACATGAAGCATGTGTAATGTATTTCTTGCTTTCTGTGCACTAACAGATCAGGATTGAACATTGATTGCAGGCGAGTATGCAGGTTTTGACGAGAAGCAGCCCACATCTCATCAAGATGGCAAAGCTCGGGTGGTATCCTTTCTCAAGCAGAAATATGGCTATCAACGAGTCGTCATGGTCGGTGATGGTGCTACCGATTTGGCAGCTTGCCCTCCAGCGGTAGGTATAAATTAGTTTCAATGTTTTGATGACATAATGCTATTCGAATGGGCTTCTGTCTCCATCTTTCATTGGTCATAATGTGCACTGAATGAGCTCATCTGTGCAGAATTCTTTGTCGTCATTGATCAGTTTGTCACAGTTAGCCAGTTCTGTTTCCAAAGGGTCATAATAACTTCCCTTTCGAGTTCTTGCATCACTTGGTTCTGTTACTCAATATACAAACTAAAGTTTGTGCGACTTCAGACTCTAGTCTGCGGTAAGCCAATTTAAAGATCTGCTGAAACAAACAATGGCAACTCGTGTGACACATGATGCACATTCATCATTATCTCATGCCCAGAAAATTGCATAAACACAATAATGTTGTTTTATTATGGCATTCTTCAGGCTTATACAAGAGGGGAATCGGATACTGGAACAATGAGTAAATGCATGGCAAAGAAACAAAAACAAATATATATTCCTGTATGCGTAATGTAATCTTGTGCACCTTTGGCATGTGCATGAACATTTGTTGTTCTTTAATAAAAAAAAGTCTGTGTTGGGAGAAATGTTTCGTGTATTTCTGCATTTCTCGCGTTTTGGCTGTTCTCAATATTGTCTACTGGGACTTAGCAGCTTCACACTCACCCCTGCAAAATAAGACACTGTGCTTCCCTCAAATCCTGAAGCTGGTGCTGTTATCGCATTCTGATCTTTCTCACTTCCTTTGCTATATTTATTAATTTTTTGGCATATTCGAACCGCAGTTCCACAATGTTATGCTTTTCACTGTCACTTTTGATTCACACCTTTAACAAAATAGCCACGAACCTACTATATATACACACACACAATTGCACACACATGTATTGAAAAGGTGCCTGTAAATTCAGTGCGTTGCAGACATTCCAAATGACTGGTGAGTGTAAAAAAGCGGTGTTATATATTCCTTTCAATCATGAATTATGATACATTGTCTAGAGATGGATCAAATTTGTGTGACAACATTCCAAAGCACTCAGTGTTATTTTTTCAAGAAAGGAAATGATGGAATGCTTTGTTTAGAGTGAGCTTCACTAATTAAAGTTGAGCATGTAACTTAATTATCCTGCAATCTGCCAGCTTCTATATTTGCATAAAAAATAAACTATTGTGCCTGAAATGCATATGCACTTCTTTTTTTTTTTCTATTTGTTTCGACTGAGAAAAACAAAGGTCTTCATCTTGGTCCTGGAATGTGTCGCGTCAAAAATGGTAGTGTATTCAGCAAAACGATCTTTTGCAGCATAACAAGGTAAATAATCACTAACTGTCTATTAAGGAAGCCTGCACAAATGTGCACACCAAGTCTGAAGCCATTTTAAGAAAAGCGCGGTGAGTCGCGAAGTAGGCGTGCAAAATTGTACACACCGCGACTGAAAGGCATATACTCTGTTCCTCACTTCGAGGGGAGAAACAAGTCTGCCAACTAAAAGAACTGGAATCTTGCCATATAGTAGGGAAAGATCAACTTGGTCATTTCTTATTGGGCTGCAGCATTTTGAGCAGGTTCAATGTGGTTTGCTGTTGCAGTATGTCCATTATATTCAAAAGATTCAGTTGTAAACATAAACGACCACACTTGGGGCAGAATAATGCGTTAAGGATGGAGTAGCACTTCTACTCCTGGTGATACAACCATGTTTTCGGTCTCCTGAAGGTTTTGATTGTAGTAAATAAAGCCCCCTGAAATTGTCATCCGCCATATTAAGTGCTGAGCCATTGCGTTCCATAGTTTCGTCGCCAATGCATTTTTGTGACAGCGAAGATTACAACATGCAACCATGAAAAGGTAATCAATTTTAGTTGTTCGTGACGGTTCTTGGGAAGGAGAGGAAAAAAACCGATGAGCTGTGCCACTCCAAGCATCTTGACAAGTCTCATTGAGAGATCGTACATAAAATCTGAAGGTAGTTGCTGCCTTGGTCTAAACATTGGTTCCAGCCACTTTCTCTGTTTAACGATTTCGCATCCTCTTTAATAATCTTATTGCAAGAAGTATAAACATCACAACAAAAAGTGAAGGTCCGTATTTTTGCTGTATCGTCAGCTTATTCACAACCTGGCAAAAAAAAAAGACAGCTTTTCTGCATGTATGTTTCACTTCAAAATGTATGGCCTAATTTCTTGAACGTCAAAAATTAGACGTATGCCAATTTCTATTATAGCAGGGTACAGACAGTAAAATAACTTGAGCAATGTTCTTGATTGGGCTGGTTAGTGCTCAGTAGATGAAGAATAAAGTCGCACTCAATACGGGGTGAAATAAGTCAGACATGAACAGCGCTTAACTAACAAACACGGGTTAGTGCAAAACCAGCTGTGAAGGAAACACCATCAGAAATGTGCATAGTCATCAGCCAGCTTAACGTTAATGCTTCATAGCGTGTCCTGAAACGGGTTGACGCCAGCGCTGCGCAGTTCTGTTGCCGAGATGTTACCCACATGTGCATATGTACTATCCAAGAATAGAGTTGCTACCTCAGCAACAGTGCCCGGTATATTGTGGCTGACATCGGCCAAACTGTACAAGTGATACAGTCCACACAACAAAGTAGCGTGCTCGAGCTCATCATCCGAATTTCTCTGCACTGCACTGAAATTACATATCCAACACTTACCAGTGTGCGAGCTTCATAATAGCTGGTTGTCTACTCTTGCTCTGCACATTTGCTTCTACGTATTGCAATGAATCCTGGTAGTTAATTCATGTCATCTTGTCCAGTCATTAAAAAAAAGTTGATGGGTCATAATTCATTGTGCCTGCTTCATCAGAATCAACTTGTAAGTTACCCTCGCACACAAAAACCATTACAAGTGTCTGTGAATGTGTGCATGCATGTACCCTTTTGTTGTGCTTTGTTTACAGGATGCATTTGTCGGATACGGTGGAAACCAAGTTCGCGAGAAAGTCAAGAAGGCAGCTCCGTGGTTTGTCTACAGCTTTGATGAGCTAGTGCAGGAGCTGAATAGGAACTGACATGACAACACCACTTGATTTTGTTGCACCTGATATTTATTTTTGTACAGTATTTCATTGTTCTTACAGCCTCTCAATTATTAATGAAACCCGACCTTTCACCTGTCTTTGCAGGTGGATCCAAAGTTGCAAACTTGTTGAGGCTTTTCGGAAAAACCCGTTTCAGAAAATGTTCTATGCAAAAATGTCAGTGCTCATATTGCTTGAACGAATTGCACCGCCACTTTTGGTAAATGCACGGTAGCCTTTTTTTTTGTTTCTAATGCATTTTGTAAACTAGAGGACAGATCTGTTGAACTGCAATTGTGCACATCTTTTGTTTTTATATACATGTGTGTCTCTTGAAAATCTTGAAATGACCATTGCATTGACAAGCTTCGAGGGACCCATTTCATGTGATAGAAATTCAAATAGTACCTGAAGCAGAAAGTAGTCAGTAAAGTAGAAAGTTGTTAGAAACAGTTATAGGGCTTAACTTCAGTACGGTGTGTTTATTTTGTTTTGCCAGCCTAGTATATCAAATAATGTTGTTGGCTCTTACGCCAAATAAAATTGGCATCTCTCACGGCTTGTGACAATTTTTTTGGATGGTGCCCCAAGCATTTCACAGCAGCAATTTTTGAACTGCTGTTTGCCTTTGTTCGGGCTTTCCATCAGTCGTGACAGTTACAAATATTTGAAATTCACAATGAAAGTCAGCCATCAAAAAAAAAAATTGTTGTCAAGACACCGCAGGACCTTATTTTGGCACTGCCTTACTCTGCAAGAAGTTTGGCACCCGAGAGAACAACGTGCACTGCACTGTTGCATTTGCTTGTCCTCTGACACGCAAAGAATGTGTGGACCAGCACTGGCTGAGCACGTGCTTGAATCGACAAAAACAGGAGATTCCCCGAGGCTGCCTTTTCTCATTCAGTCAGCCAGCCATGCTTGGTTCACCCATGCCAAGTCACTTCTCAGAATAGGAGGCAAGAAAATCCACCTATAGTTCTGTTGACACAAGCATTAAGTGAAACGCATTCACTTGTGAAGCTAATCACTTAATTCAAGCTTGCACGAACTCCTAACAAGGTTACAGCGCACTGATACCTCATTCACAGAAGTATCTAAAGAAAAAAACAACTGACAACCGAACAAGGTTCTTGCCATGTCAAAAGGGGACTCAAAATAACCATAGAATTGGAGGAATAAAACCTAGCCATAAATAGCCATCCATGCCTTTGTGAAAACAACACTTAGTTTAAATGACTAAATGCAATACAATGTTGATAAAACTGTAAGCAAGAACCCTTCAAATTCGAAACAGAAGGCGTAGAGTCGATGACAGACAAAAAGGGAGACACACACAGGGAGCCACTTGCAACAATGTTTATTCCAAGAGAAAAAAACAGGTGCTATTACTGCGGACAGTGTCATGCTTTCATTGCTGTGCAGTCGCATTGAGATATTCCAACTCTCTCAGAGATGCCACACATGCAATAATGACAGGCCTCAATAATATTTTTACCTCTATTATTTGATTTCATGAGTCTCGACCCCTGGAAATCATGGAGCATGCATGAAAATCCAGCACACTAATGCAATCTATTGCCAGGTGATGGCCTCTGTATTTCATATCGTTTTGCAATGCTGTCCGAGCCTCTCTGAGTACTGCTCAGTATGGCCAACATACGTTTTGCCACATGATGGGAAAACGTCGAAGACCACACCAACCTGTCATTTGAACTTTACTTTCATGGTTTACGGTACAGGCTCGTGCCTTTCAGAGGAAACAGCCTGCTATTTCGCTATGTTTTGACATGTTCCCCTTCTGCTCTCATGGCAGGTTATCAAACCCGCGACAAACATTCGTGTCGACTTTTTTTTTTTTTTACATGAGGTGGCTCTAGGTCCACTAGAACTTCAAATTGGAAATTGCCAGTTGCGATATCTCAATGCGACTACGCAGCAACCAAATGTGACAACACAGACCTGCATAGACAGCACTAAATTTTTCTTGGAATAAAGATTGTTCAACATGTTGCGCCCTGTGTGTCTGTCTACTTCTATTAGAATCCTGCAATACCAACACGCTCATTTTTTTTAGTCTCAAAAACCCATCAAAGTACAGCAGGAATCTTTGAAAATTAAAATAGCAGCATTAATAACAGACTTCAGACTCAGCAAAAAATTTAGCAGATTCCACGTGGCTTGGGAATCGACGTTACACGAAGCATGTGCAGAGAAGGTGATTATATCGCAATTTTTTTATTGAGCGACACGTCATGAAATGACGCTACATATATGTACAAATGTCGCATGTATAGAGACACATGTTGAGTTGCAAATGTTCATATAACCAGTTGTTTGCACTTGCGCAATGATGCCAACAGGAACATGCATATTAGTAGCACGAGAAGCTGATCTAAAGCGCTGATGCTCGCGAAGACGCTGGCACTGGACATTGCTACATAAATCAACTTCAGCACATGGCACCGAAACACAATCGACGTTAACCCGACGTGACGGCTGTATCAAATGAGTACATATGCAATGTTTATAAAATTGGATAGGCACACTGCAACTGCTGTTGACGTTTCAGGAAGATTAGCCTCTATTTGAAAAGTAGTTTCGAAACCTGGCATAGCTCTGTGCTAGAATGCTTCATTGCCACGCAGAATGCTTGGGTTCAATTGCAGCGGGGACCCTGACATTTATTCTTTGCATTTTTCGGGTCGATGCTACCAATGTTGGGTATTTCTTAACGCTTGCCCCAAACTACCCATGTGTGTTCTCGTCGTTCCACGGTAGATACTAAGTGTCGATCACTTGTGGTACATACACTCATGTTAGTGGCACATACCGGCTTGGCAGACAGCTTGTGACTACAGACCCGCTAGTTTCTTATTATTTCTGTGAACACTGCTGGATCTCTGCCTCGTTCTGAAATCGATGCAGGTATGAACGTTCTCACGGCCTCGCCGGGAATGGCAGCGGCCGCCGCCGCTATGGACTTCGTAGCGCCTCGGACAGCAACGACACCAGTGTCTACTCGCTAAGGAGTGAGGAACGGTCTGAAGACGACTTTCAACTCGTACAAGGACGTAAGGCGAAGCACAGAAACATGGGGTCCTCCCTGACAGAAGAACGCAGTCAGATTATTTTTGTATCAGAGCTTGCTACCGATAACTTTAGGCGACTCAACAGACAATCGGTCTCGGTGCTTCTCGAGGCTACGGTGCCAAACGAAATAAGGAAGGCGAGACTCAACTCGCCAAAAAATGTTCTTGCTATCGACGTTGCACACGAGACCCGAGCTCATACATCCCATTGAGCACTGGTACCACTACTGGTGTCATCTATGATGCTGACATCTCTGTTTCAAACACAGACTTGACCAGTCTTGTGAAACCAGTTGTTGATGGCATCGAAATCATACATATGTCTCGAATGGGCACATCTCGCTGATAAATCTTACATTCAAAGGAAAATCACTGCCCTTGCATGTCAAGGTGTGCTACTTTCTGCATCCTGTACAACAATTCATTCCAAAGCCACTTCAACACTGCAAATGTTTGATGTTTGGACAGGTGAGCGCCGTGTGTCGGAGCAGGATAACTTGCTCACGCTGCACCGAAGCACACGCTACAAACTCCTGCACCGCCACAGCACTCAAGTGCCGCAATTGCTTCGGGTCCCACGACGCTTCATCAAATGACTGCCCCAAGATACAGAAGAAAAAGGACATTCTTAAGCATATGGTGCCGGACCGGTCGTTTCGTTGGGAAGCTGTTGCTGTCGTCAGAATGTGGCGCTCCCAACGCCGTAGTGGTTCAAGGGACTCTGTGACACGTAGTTCACAGGTGACAGGACCTCCTTTGCTTCAAAGATTATACGTGTCCCCGTCAATTTCTGTGGTTGTGGATGCCACAACGTAATTCACAGCGAATTGAACGGTTGCAGCAGACTGAGTCAACGACAGCGCTGTTTAACCACGCCATGCCTGAAAAAGACCAGGACATCCCTGCAACACTACGATCTCTCATGGACACCATATTTATGCTTTTGACAAAACTTAATACTCCGTCAGTCCAAACAGCTCTGACACTGCTGGAGATGTTATCCAGTGTTTTCAGTGCTTCACTAGTTCTCACGGATTGCCCACGACACTCTCCAAAGTCGTGATTTCGCTGTCGCATGCCTGAATGCTGAAGTCGTGTTGGTCAGAAAAGTTTCCGGCCTCAGTACGCTACGGGAATGTGACATCATTCATGTTTTGACCAGCACCTCATATTCGTTAAACCATCTTACCCTCCCATGCTGATTTCGGTTCAGGTCAAGTTAAGGGGGTGGTAACGAGAGCACCCAAACGTAAGCGGCTAGATAGATACGCTCAAAGTCGCCGAAGTTCGCTGAAAATGCTTCGCATTTAATAACTCAAACAGGAAGTTTCTTGCACTGTTGCAGAGATGACATTCGTCCTGCATCATGGAAGAAGAAAACTGAGCGTCCCTGACGCCATTCGTAGTGAAACCGGCCATATTGACTAAGAAAATTCTCCTCTCTTGTGCACACCGGAATGAGTTGGCATGACTCTCTCCGGCTCGAAAAGCACGTGGGCTGCGCGGCGCGCGTGTCGTTACGATCCGAAACTAACAAAACGGGGCTCAACACGCTAGGCCATTGCGATACCGTTGGCGAAATAATTTCGTGCGAGCAATAAACAGCGCACAGCTCGCACACAAAGAAGCAAGTACAAAAGAACGCGTGCTAGGCGCATTGACCACGACGACTGTGGTGCCATTGTTTTTACGAGATTTGCACTATTCATGCACTGTACAGACAAGATCGGCCTTGCGCCGCCTTCTATTGTATTCCTTCTCACGCGTGACCTACGCGGAACCTGGTCGCCGAGCCCGTGTTCACGCAATAAATAAGTTTTCACCACAGCCCGTGTTAACGCAAAAGCTAACCGCCGTCAGCAATTTGTGAAACCACAGTGAACTTGTACACGGTGCAAGCGACACTCGAACGCGCTTGCTCAAATGCCGAGGGGGCGAGCATGACAAGCGGAACAAATAGATACGCATGCACGTGCAACTTGTTACTGTACAGTACACATATCGAACACGAAACTGCACTAGCGCATGTCCATGACGTCCTCATCGCGCCTTGAGGGGCACTAATGTTCCGTGCATTGTCACAAGCAACAACAACTGTCACTGACCTGCAGGACCTTTGTCGTGGATCGCTCTACGCACTGTTGCAGCCCCTTGGCGAACAACAGGTTTTCAAACCTTGCTACAGTGTACTAGAAGGGGAAGTCACGGGAAGTGTGCCGTGCGGCGGCGCCGAAAGAAGGGTCCTCCTAGCGATGACCGCTCTGCGAGATACTAGAGGGCGCCGCTGGCTAAAGGAGCGCTACGCTCGCTGCCGAGATGGCTCTGTGAGCGGGCTGTGTGGCCGATTTGAGTATTGTTCCGAGTTGTCGTCGCGGCTTTTTATGCGACAAATGCCACTTATTGGTGAAATTAATTCCTTCCGCATAGGCACTAGCCGTTATCTCACTATAACGAACGTACACAAAA